CCACCTCCCAGAGGGCCTTCCCCTCCTGCGCCTGCCTTCCACCCTTCCAAGCATGATGTCCTTCTCCAAGGACCAGTCTCTCCTAGGAGCACAATTAAGTGTTAAGCAATTTCCATACTTCACAATGATAACTGTAATTATATTATAATCCACATAGTTAACAAAACATATGAAAACATCTTTTGGGTATTTTCTGCTTTTAGCCCAAATCTTTTTTATATCAGTGATGTATCTTATTCTGCATCCACTTCTGAATCTGGCTTGAATTTCTAGTAGTTTCTTGTCTATGTCTAGCTACAGCTGTTTTTTAATTATCTTCAGCAAAATTTTACTTGCTAGAGAAGAGTGTTGAATATACAATGGACTGCTGGGAGAACAGATACGTTCGCCCAGGAGAAGATGAAACCAGGAAGCTCCTTGGAGGCAAAGATTCTGAAGCTTTGTCTGACATACTTTGGACATATTACAAGGAGGGACTCATCCTTGGAGAGGGGCATCATGCTTGGGAGAGTGGAAAGACAGCACAGGAAAGGAAGACACTTGATGAGATGGATTGATTAAGTCACTGGGACAGTGAGGGTAGAAGTGTCAAAGACAATAAGATTGGCACAGGATAGAACAGGGTTTAGGGCTCTTGTACATATGGTTGCTATGAGTTGCAAGCGGCTTGATGGCACATAAAAGCTTCAACCTGAATGTGTATTGGAGCAGTTAATGGTCTGTACACACACACACACACACACACACACACACACACACACACATACACACACACACACAGAGTTGCTATGAGTCACTAGTGACTCGATGGCACATAACAGCAACAAATATTTGTTGTTGTATACTGTGGAGTTGAAACTGACCCATAGCTGACCCTCTGGTGGGTTTTCAGAGGCAGCTAATCACATGGGAGGAGACTGCCCATCCTTCTTCTCCCACACAGCAATTGGTGGTCTCAAACAGCATGTCATTGGGATTGTAACACAACTTTTCTTACCACTAGGAAATTAAAAGGCGTATTGCCATGGGAAAGTCTGCTGTTAGGGACCTCTCCAAAGTACTGAAGAGCAATGGTGTCTCTCTGGAGACTAAGGAGCGTCTGATACAGGCCATGGTCTTCGCAATCACTTGTCATGCATCAGAGTTGGACAATGACCAGAGAGGATAGATGGAGAATTATGGTTGTTTTTTTTTACCTTTCGATATAGAAGGAGAATTGATGCCTTTGAGCTGTGGTGCTGGAGAAGAGTATTGAGAATACCATGGACTGCTAGGAAAACAAACAGATTTGTCCTGGAAAGGGTTAAACCAGGTGGCTCCTTGGAGGCAAGGATTCTGAGGCTCCGTCTAACATACTTTGGACATGTTGTGAGGAGAGACCGGTCCTTAGAGAGGGACATCATGTTTGGAAGGGTGGAGGGACGGCGCAGGAGAGGAAGGCCCTCTATGAGGTGGATTGATTCAGTGACTGGGATAATTGGGATGGGAGTGTCGGAGACAGTGTGATTGGCACAGGACAGAGCGGAGTTTAGGGCTGTTGTACATAGGGTCGCTATGAGTCGCAAGTGACTCGACGGCACATAACAACAACAACAACAGGCCATCAGAGCTCTCTTATACTCACTCTCTCCTCTCTCTCTCACTATATATATTCCATATGTCATATATATACAGTCCATATATAATATGTGTTGCTGTTTTCAGGTGTCATCAAATTGACTTATGGTAACACTATGAATAAAAGATCTGAACCCTGATCTATCCTCTGCCATGTTCACACTTATTAACATGCAAGAGCCCATTGTGACAGTAACTGTCAATCCACCTGGCCAAAGGTCCTCTTCTTTGTTGACCGTCCACCCTTCCCAGTATCATGTCCTTCACCAAGGAATAGCCCTCCTAGCAACATACCAAAAGTATATGAGGTGAAACTTAATCATTCTTGCTTCCAAAGAGCAATCCAGCTGCACGCTCTCCAAGACATATCTATTTGTTCTCTTGGCCATCCATGGGATATTCAGTGTTCTTCTCCAACACTACAGCTCAAAGGCGTCAATTCTTTCCCTATTATCCCTATTCATTGTTCAGCTGTCAGACATATAGCAAGTAATCAGAAAGACTATAGCCTAAATTAGAAGCACCTTAGTCCTCAAACTGACATCACTACTCAATAATTTGGAGAAGTCCCTTACTGCAGATTTTCCTAGTGCAATGCATCTCCTTATTTCCTGACTTCTGGTACCAGGTGTGTTAATTGTGGATCCAAGCAAGATGAAGCTGTTGACAGTTTCAATCTCCTCTCCATCCATCATGATGTTGTCTATCAGTCTAGTGGTAAGAAACTTTGTTTTCTTGACATTATGATGCAATTCATACTGAGGGCTTTATTCGTTCATCTTCTGCAACAAGTGGTTCAAGTTCTCTTTACTTTCAGCAAGCAAGGTTGTCCCATCTGCATAACACAGGTTATTGATGAGTCCCCCTCCAATTCTAATGTCACACTCCTCTTATCAGAGTCCAGCTATGGAGACAGAAGACAATCCTGCCATACTCCCTTTTTAATTTTAAACCTTTTAGTATTCTACTGCTCTGTTTGCACAACAGCCTCCTGGTCGGTATTTAGGTTTCACATTAGCATAATTAAGTGCTCTGGGACTTCCATTTTACTCAATGACATCCACAACTTGTTATGATCCACACAGTTACATGGCTTTGCATAGTTAATAAAGCACAAATGGGCATTCTTCTGGTATTCCTTACTTTCAGCCAGGATTCATCTGACCTCAGCAGTGAGATCCCTGGTGCCATGGTTTCTTCTAAATCCTGCTTGAACTTCTGGCAGTTCCCTATCTATGGTCTATTCTTGTGATTTTTGAATGATCTTCAGCAGTATTTTGCTTGTATGTGATATTAATGATATTGTTTGATAGTTTACACATTCAGTTTGTTCATCTTCCTTGAGAATAAAAACAAATATGAACCTCTTCCGATCTGTTGGCCAGACAGCTGTGCTCCAAATTTCCTGGCATAGACTGTTTGGGTGTTTTTAATTTTGTTAACAATTAAGTGTAAACTGATCGGCCATTGTGATTTCATTAACGATCCCAGCTGTGGGCTGGACGCCTCTTTTTTAAGCAATTAGGAACTGGTGGGCGGGCCTTTGTATATGTAATCTCTATAATCCATACATGTTGTAAGGTGAGATCAGTCCCTGGTGAGGGATGTCCTGCTTAGGAGGGTGGAGGGACAGTGCAGGAGAGGAAGACCTTCAATGAGATGGATTGATTCCATCACTGGGGTAATGGGGATAGGTAAGTCAGAGACAATAAGGTTGGCAAGAGATAGGGCAGGGTTTAGGGCTGTTTTACACAGGGTTGCTATGAGTCACAAGTGACTCAATGACACATGATAATAACAACAAATCCATCTATTTTATCATAATATATATATATATATATATATATATATATATATATATAATCACTATGCATGTTGTTGAAATAAGAAATTGTGCAGTTAATTACTTAATATGTCTCTTCTAGCAGTAATCTTTATAACTTAGCTCAAAGACATTTTGTTAGGTGCCGTCAAACGGACTACAACTCATACTGATCCTATGAACAACAAATCTTCATTTTGTCTTAACCCACATCATTTTCATGACCTGAATTATGCTCAAACATATTGTTATAGTCATTGTGTCAATCAACTTGTAGAACTATGCATATGTAAAGTGTTTGTGGTCAACCAAGGGATTCTGATGGCTTGATAGTAATGTAAATAAAGTATAGGACACATTTGCAGGATAGAACAATGATAAGAAAGTACATAGAATGGTAACATGGGGATTAGTCAGTTTTGCCAGCATGCTGGCCTAAAAAGAAGCCATACCACAGGCAGAAGAGGGGATCTCACTGCCGTCCAGGAAGAAGTGTTGTGACTACAGCACATCCTTTTGACTGAAGATCTCTGAGCATGGAGGCAAGGATAGTGAATCTTCATCTTACATATTTTTGGTATCTTGTTAGAAGGGGTAGTTCCTTGGAAAAGGACATTACACTTGGAAAGGTGGAGAGTCAGAGAAAGAAAGGTAGACCCTGAATGAGATGGATTGACATAGTGATTGTAGCAATGGATTTAGTTGTATCAGCGATGATGAGGATGGCACAGGAGAGTGCAAGGTTCAGGTGCATTGTTCATAGGGTTGCGATTAGAAACATGGTGACACTGGAGGTGGCACGTGATGACTGGGAACAGTGGTGGAAAGATACCAGCATGAGCTGGAGAAGAGGCTTCCTAGCCCAAGGAACAAGGAAGTGAGTTTGGTTTTAGTTGGTATGTACCCTTAACAGAATTGTGTATGTTTTTAATTCACCATGAGTTGGAATTGACTCAAAGGCAATCACCGACACTAGGTGTTGCTAAGTCCCTGTTAAGACATGCTGGGCTATATATTGGTTTCATCTTTGCCCGATTTTGAAATACTGTAAGAAATAAAAAAGGGTAGGAGGATAAGGAGAAAGCAGGAAGAAGAGGAGAGGAAAGGGAAGAAAGAAGGAAGCAATTTAAAGATATAGAGCCCTATCTTCACATTTAACAGCCTTATCTATCAGGCAATAGGTGAATAATGCATTTTCATAAACACAAGCAACACTTTCTAAATTTCTAGTGAGGAAAATGGTTGACTAACCCTGTTATGCTGAGCTAAATCAATCTGCAGTGAAGTTCTCTATTCTTGCCTTGATCTCCTGAGATTTCCAGTCATTTATTTTAAAGGGGCCCCAGTGAGTCTTATGATATTTTTCTAACACAGTGGCACAAGAGACTGGTAGACATCACGGTTTTGTGGTAGATCCAAGAGATTTGGATGAAAAAGACTGTGATTACTTTTAAAATGTTGCCCCAGGGCTCAGGAAACTCCAAAAGCCCTTCAAGCTCTTTGAGGGTGGGGGATACTTAAGAAAAAATAGAAAAGTTACTTCAAAAAGAAAATGACTTACTATAAGTGGGCCCCGGTTGTTCTCTCGGTACTTGTTCTGGAAGAAAATGTAAACGACGGTGGCAGCCAAGGAATAGAGGAAGGCGAAGACAGCGACGGTGACAAAGAATTCTGCTGAAGATGAGAAGTCTCCAATCAAGGCCAGCTTCTGCCGCTCCTTGCCTTCACAGGTAGGAACCTCAAAAGTCACCTGGTGCAACCTAAATGACCAAGATTCAAGAAAAAGAAATTGTAATATGGTACGGGAAGGACATTGGATGACTTATGTCTGTATCTTCTAAAGCAAAATCAGGTGCAACTTTTAAGTTTTCACAGAACGTCTAAATGAGCATTTCATTAAAACACCTCATAGAGAGCAGCTGTAGATGTGGAAATAAATATGGTAGTTAAACACTGCTTACTTGTGTTTAATAATAACTAGTCATACTGAAGAGAAGAGATGGACTAGAAAACAGAATGTGAAAGGATTCTAAATTAGAGTTACAGCATTCCACTGTTTTAGATGCCCTCGTCACAGACAGCAAAGTGTTTGGCTACTAACTGAGAGGTCAGTGAGTTATTCCATAAATCATCTTATTCCATACACTGCTCTAAATTTTTGGGAGAAATTTCTGGTAGTCTGATTTTGTAGAGATTTAACCTTAGAAACCCTATGGGGATGGTTCTAGTGTGTCCTAGAGTCACTATGAGTCAGAAGCAACAAGACATCAGAGAGTGTTGTATTCCTCAGCTGAAATTTTCCCATTCCCGCACATTATTTTTAGAATAAAACCTCATCATTTCCTGAACATGCCCCACGTATATCTCCAGCATTATCCCTTGCCCCTCCATCCGTCCAGCCCAACCACATTGGCATATATTCTGTTTCTCTTTGTGTCAAGAATTATTAGGGTTTTGTCACTGGCTATTCTCTTATCCTTAAGGACTTTCCTCTGACATCTTTCAGAGTTTGTCCCTATTTGGTAACTGAGTGTCCTCTCAATTGTCATCTTCTAAGGGAGACCTCACTTGGCTACTAATCTAAAGTAGCTCCTTTCTCTGTTGTTGTGTGCTGTTCAGTTGGAACAGACCTATAGCTGACCCTTTAGTGAGTTTTCAGAAGCAGTTAACTGCAAGGAAGAAGGCTGCCCATCCTTCTCCTGTAGAGCAGCCGGTGGACATGAACCATGTGCCTTCCAGAGTGCAGCACAATTTCTTACCACTATGTCTTAAACATTTCTATTATACCTCCATTTAAAATGTCATTTATCAACAGCAAAACTATCTGGTAATATGTTAGGTTACAGATTATTCGGGAGCCTGGGGTGTGTGAGAAGTGTAGCATCAGGACTGGAGGAAGTCTCATCAAGCATTATACAGATGACACAACCCTGCTTGCTGAAACTGAGGAGGACCTGAAGCACTTGCTGCAGAGGGTCAAGGACTGCAGCCTTCAATATGGATTGAGGCTCAATATCAAGAAGACTAAGATTCTCACCACTGGGTCAATTGGCAGCATCAGGATGGATGGTAAAGAAATTGAGATTCTTCACAGCTTTAGTTTGCTCAGCTCCACAGTCAACACTCTCGGCACCAGTAGTCAGGAAATTAAAAGGCATATTTCCATGGGAAAGTCTGCTGTTAGGGACCTCTCCAAAGTACTGAAGATCAATGGTGTCACTCTCGAGGCTAAGATACACTTAATATGGGCCATGGTCTTGGCAATCACTTGCTATGTATCAGAGAGCTGGAAAATGACTAGGGAGGATAGAAAGAAAATGGATGCCTTTGAGCTGTGGTGTTGGAGAAATGTGTTGAATATACTATGAACTGCTAAGAAAATGAACAGGTTTGACCTGGAGAGGGTTAAACCAGGCTGCTCCTTGGAGGCAAGGATTCTGAAGCTTTATCTGACACACTGGACATGTTTCAGAAGGGATCAGTCTTTGGAGGAGGACATCATGCTTGGGAGTGTCGAGGGACAGCGCAGGAGAGGAAGACCCTCTATGAGGTAGATTGATTCAGTGACTGGGGTAATCAGGGTGGCTGTGTCAGAGACAGTGAGATTGACAGTGGATAGAGCAGGGTTTAGGGCTGTTGTACATAGGGTCTGTATGAGTCACAGACAACTCAACGGCACATAACAACAACAATAATATGCCCTCAGGAATGTGCCCTTCATATATTGGTGGTCTTCTCTGTATGTCTTGAATGCATGACACATATTATATACTCAGTGTACAGAACTTAAACACATAGAGTAAAATTCTTGAGTATAAAAGGACTGTTAGGCTGATTAAGCTTTGTATCTTCTCTTTTACATAGAAAGTTCTATCAGCAAAGCATTTAGGAACATTATATTACTGAATAGAGAAAATGATGTTTGGAAAATACTTTTAGGTCTGAAGATGACACTTAACGAAGATAATTTGTGTTAGAATCATAACAGCAGCTTGTGATGTGAACTAGAACTAAGTAGAGAAGGGTAATTGAAATAGTAGCCAAATTCTTCTTCAGAAAATGACAAAATTATTCCTTAAATATTAGAGAAGCACTAGAAAACAGACTTGAGTGAGACCTATTTATGTCAATAAAGTGCCACTTAGAAAATTATCTATGAAAGTGGTAGTGATTGTACAACCTGATGAACCTTGCCTCCGGGGACCAGTGAACCTGATAAATTACCAACTTGTGTTCATTTACTAATGAACTTGTTAATGAGCTTGTGTTTATTAAGTCATTTACTTACTAAACAAAACATGATTCCATGGAATATGCTTATTGTATAAATTCTCTTGGCAGTTAGGATAACAATGATTATGATAAAACAATAGTAATAGTAGCAACTGATCTATAGCAGACTTTGTGTTAACTGTTTTATTTGCATTACTTTATGCAGTGCTTAAGACAAACCTATGATGGAGCATTTTCAATGACCCCTCTTTTTAGAAATGAGGTCACAGAGACTTAGAAAGAGCCCTTCAACTTCCGCCAGGACATGCTCAAAGTTCATGAGCTTAAGGCAAGCAAGAGGCAGCAACAGAAGTCAGTGTTTTACATCTTCTGCCCTATGTTTACTACTATTGTTGTTGCTGTGTGCCATCAAGTTGCCTGAAACTCATAGCAATGCTATGTACAATAGCTCTGAACCTGACTTATCTTGAGCCTATCTCATCATCTCTCACAGATCTAATCCCATTTCTTCAATTACTGAGTCAATCCTTCTAATCCTGGGTTTTTCTCTTCTGCCCTATCCCTCCACACTCCTATGCACGATGTCCTTCTCCAAAGACTAGTCCCTCATGATGAAGTCCCCAAAGTATGTGAGTTGGATCTTCAAAATCTTTGCCTCCAGGGAGCAGCTTGGTTTCACCCTCTCCACCACAGAACTGTTGGTTATCCTGGCTGTCCATCATATGTTCAACCCTCTCTTCCAATACCACAATTCAAAGGCATCAATCCTTCAATAATCCTTAGTCCAGCTCTCTGATGAAAGTAATTGCGAAGACCATGGCCTGTATCAGGAACACCTTAGTCTCTAGACTGACATAGTTGCTTTTCAGTACTCTAATGAGGTCCCGGAAAGCAGACTTGCCCAGTGCAGTTCATCTTGTGATTTTCTGACTGTTAATGCCAGGAGTGTTGATTGTGGAAGTAAGCAAATGGAAGTTGTTAACAACCTCAATCTCTTCTCTGTCTATCATGAAGCTACCAATTGGCCCCGTGGAGAGAATCTTTGTTTTCTTAATGTTGAGCTTCAATCTATAAGGCACCTAAAAACTCTTCCAGCCTTAATCTACTATCTAGCTCCAAACTATGAAACTGATACCTTCACATTTAAGTATCTGTTAGAGCAGCAGTACCAAATTCTGTCTTAGCTGTCTAACACAGCTCTAACAGAAATACTGCAAGTGGACAGCTTTAACAAACAGCTTATTTTCTCACAGTTAAAGAGGACAGAAGTCTAAATTGAGTATGTCAGCTCCAGGTAAGTCTCTCTCTCTGTATCATCTCTGGAGGACGGTCCTTGTCTCTTTGAGCTTCTGTTCCTGAATAACCCTCACGTGGGCTGGCATCTTTCTATCACCATCCCTGTTTCTCTTGCTTGGTTAATCTAGTAGATATCTCAAAAGAGATTGCTTTAAGACACAACCTCTACAAATTCTGCCCTATTAACATAACAAAATCAATCTACTTCTCCAGGCAAATGCCTTAAGATTCTTAATGCATATTTTTCGAGGGACAAAATTCAATCTGTAACAGTGCACAACTTTAATAAAATGTATGAAAATGGAAACTGGTCATGATGGTTATACTGTAGAACCTTCCTCTTTCCATTGACAAAGATATTAAAGCATGTTTCTCAACACTGTAATGTATTCAGAAGTAAAAGGGATTTTAAAAGTAGTGTCTTTATTCCTCTGATATAGATGATGTTTAGAAAATGTACAGTTTTTTTTGTGATTCTTTTAAATGTGTCATTCATTCACCCAATTTTAACAAGCGCACACCAAGGATCACACAATAGATAGAGGCAGAGGAAGGAGTGGAAACAAAGGAGAGATGGAATAGCCTCTGACTGTTGTGAACTAACGAGTTTGATTAAAGGTGGCATATTTTGAGGGGAATCTTGAATTAGTCTAGGGGAGATGGCGTGTAAACACATAATAGGCTGGCTATGCATAAGTTGGAAACAGAGAAGAAGGATCAATAGTTGGAAAACATGGACTTGGTGACAGAAATGATGCTGGAGACAGAATGATAAAATTCTGTACAATTAATGATCTGTTATTACAAATACTTAATATAAGCAACATAAACACAGACTTCACCTGATGGTATGCTTAGAAATCAGTTCAGCTACCTCTGTGGGAAGAATCACTGGAAAAGCTCAATATCACCTGTGAAAACTAGGCCAGGTGCTGATTGTGAAACAGACCACCAACAAATTCAAGCTGAAATTGAAGAAAATTAAATCAAATCCATAGGACTCAAAATTTGACAGTGAGCCAATTCCACTCAAATTTCAAACCTTTCTCAGGAACAGGTCTGAGGCCTTGAACACCAATGAACGAAGACCAGATGACCTGTGGGAGGATATCAGTAATATCATACACGAAGAATGAAAAAGATCATTACAAAGGAAGAGAGGAAGAAAATCCAAAATAGATGTCAGAAAAGACTCTAAATATTGCACTAAAATGCCAAGAAATTAAGGAGC